TTTTTTTTTTTTTTTAAACAAAAACAGTCCCTACAGTGCTAGTGATGCTGTTGTGTTCAGGCATCACGAGCACCTAGGGAGAGGCTCCATCTATTGGTGGGGAGCAGCACCTGCTGGAAAACGGGTCCAGCGTCCCTTATATGAAAGAGTACATCATGAACCATAGACCAGTAACAGGATGAATGTCTAGAAGGTACCTGCCAGCATTGATTACTCTGGAGACCAGAGGATTGACTGAGCAGGTAGGTATGACCCAACCAATGGGTCTGAGAAACATCCAGCCCTTTGTCAGGTCAGAGTTCTGGGAGGAGCCACTGGGGGGCACCAGTGGGATCTCCTTCCATCACCCTTCCCATCCCCTATCCTGTAGCTGTGAGTAGAAGGTTTAAGGGCTCAGGGAGGGTTTAGGACAGTGACTGATTCTGGGGCTGAAGAAGCAGAAGGCCAAGACTCCTAATAGCAAGTCAGGAGATCTGTGTGAGGGTTTAGGACAGTGACTGACTCTGGGGATGAGGAGCAGAAGGCCAAGACTCCTAATAGCAAGTCAGGAGATCTGTGTGAGGGTTTAGGACAGTGACTGACTCTGGGGATGAAGAGCAGAAGGCCAAGACTCCTAATAGCAAGTCAGGAGATCTGTGTAGACTACTATTTGCCCTTGACAGCAACTCAGGCTACTGAGTGCCTCCTCCCGCCAAAACAGCATTCTTAGAGCTGTGCCCAGTAGCCTGCAGTTATTACAATTGCATGCCTGCTCACACAAACAGCCATTACAATTGCATCTCTAGATTCTCTACTCGTACAAAAAAAAAAAAGAAAAAAAAAGAGGGGGGGAAATTAAGCATAGTCAAGCTCTACAGGGTCAACCCATGGGGCAGACACATTGGTTGTGCATATACAAGGGGACACCACAGAAAACGTTAGGGGTGATAAATATAAATACAAAAAAGAGCTTGAAATGAAGTGATTTTTATTTATTTATTTATTTATTTATTAAACCAAGCTCCATCTATTGGTGGGGAGCAGCACCTGCTGGAAACCGGGTCCAGCGTCCCATAGATACAACCATATCCTCACAAATTGGCACAAACTGGGAACCGGGCCCAGCGTCCCATAACAAATTCCATGAAAATGAGACGAAACTACTAAAAAATTCTAATTGGCCTAAGGATGGAATTTTGAAAACTGAGATACCGGGGCCATTACCCGGCTTTGGCTCAGAGAATTGAGGCTACTTTAGACATGTCTATGACACCTTCATGATTAAGCAAAATTCAGAAACAACTCAGAAGATACCCCATCAATCCACTTTACCTCACTCTGGCAAGACTGACTGCAGCGGAGCCACCATCTCTGCTGCTGCTATGCCATATTCCCATCCTACCAGCTAGCCCCCTCACTCGCAGGACGCGTGATAACCCACCATCTTTTCCACTCACCTTATTCTCTTTTTTTCACTCTTTTTTTCACTACAAAAGCTTCAAGATAGGCAAAATTCAGAAAACAACTCAGAGACCCCCCCATCATATCCACTTTACCTCACTCCGGCAAGACTTACTGCAGCAGAGCCACCATCTCCACTGCTGCTGTGCCCTATTTCCATCCTACAAGCTAGCCCCCTCACTAGTAGGACGCTTGATATCCAACCATCTTTTTTTTTTTTTTTTTTTTTTTTTTTTGGGACAAAATGCTCCAGTCTATTCTTGGGGAGCAACACGTGCTGGGAACCGGGCCCAGCGTCCCATATAGAATTATACAAAACATTTGAAATACCAGGGCCATTACCTGGCTTCGGCGAAGAACAATCTGAGAACTATGAAAAAAATCAGGAGAATTTAGGAAAACATGGATAACTGCTAACCTATTGCTAGGCTACTCAAGCAGCACGTGCTAAGTCAAAGGAAAGTCACTGAAGTCCTTTGAATGCTCAGAACCTCTGGAATCGCCAACAAAACATTCTAAATTCTCTAACACTGTCTTATTCCCTGCCAAGCTCTCCCAGGCCTCATGCCCCCACCCTGCTAGGTTACAGGGCAACACAACTCACCCCAGCTCTGGACAGCGTCGTACCGACAGCAACCCTTGGTTTTCCTTTGGAATGCCCGGCGCAAGGCATCCCCAGATCTCTCTACCAGGCCTCACGCTCCTACTATCGACAGGTTACAGGACACCCCCCCCAGCTTCGGCCAGCGTCGTTCTGGCATCGAAAAACCGAAGATCCATGAATATAATAGCATTAAAGAACCTTAAAATGAGTTGCAAGAAGTGCCCAGAATCTTTTTTTTTTTTTTTTTTTTTTTTTTTAGCAGTCACCACTACCACCTGGGGAGAGGCTCCATCTATTGGTGGGGAGCGTCACCTGCTGGAAAACGGGTCGAGCGTCCCGTGTACAGACTGCAATCAGAATAAAATCAGAACACAATGAAGAGGGTTCCTGCCAGCATTGATTACCCTGGGTTCCAGGGGATTGACTGAGCAGGGTGCCGTCATCAATCTGCTATCCGTGATGTATCCAGCGGGATCCTAGATACCGACTGTACTCACACAAATGCGCTCATCCTTCTCAGACTCCGACCCACCTTCCATACAGATCCTGAAGTAGTAAGACTTTATTGCAGAGTAACTGGCTGTAAGCTAGACCAGGGCATGGACAGGCAACGGCAGGGGGAGGGGGGGTAGGGGGGGGAGGGGGGAGCTCTTCACCTTGTACACGGCGCCAGATGTCTACTACTATTTACTAGCTCCTCTACCCCCCACCGCAGAACCGATCTCTCACTGGCCGTCCATTCAAGTGATTGCCTGTATCCCATCTTCTCTCCTACAGGCTCATTCATCCTCCATGCTACTGCTTCTCTACCAGGCAATTAGAGAGGGGGGGAAAGAAGTCAGGGAAATCGCCCGGGGGCTTTAGGGGGATGGCCGCATCAACTTTGGTCCATTCTTTAAATATTAGTCGATAATCTCTTACTATCTCCCTTCTCCCCTGGTCCTCCCCTGATCCCAGATGTTCCCCTTTCCATTCTACCATCCCTAACCTCCCCCCTTCGGGTCCCCCGAGCCAGCTTGTGCCAAATTCCTTGATTTTTAATAGAATGTCTTTTTGCCTGTCAAGGTGTCTGATTCGTGTTTTGACCCCTTCCCATTTCGCAATTATTTCTGTTTGAATCTGTTGTTGTATGTTTTCCATGAGCTTGGGCCCTTCTAATCTGGCGCCTTCCATTTCGAATGTACAGCGTCGTCTCCAAAGTGCCCAGAGTACCGCCCTTCGTCCCGTTTTGAACATGTTGATAGTGAAATCATCTAGTTGGTCTGCGTGGCCATTGGGCCAGATCTCAAACAATATCGCCTTCCAGTCCCAAGGCCACGGGGCTTTTGTTTCTAGCTGCTCCCATATTCTATCCCACCAGCTCCACCGCCAGAGTGCACCCGGGCATTGCAAAAAGATGTGTTCAATTGTCTCCGACCATTTTTTGGCTGGGAACGAGTTGATGCACAATTTGCACCAGGGGAGGGACGTTCTATCTATCAGCCAGTTGTTGGTGGGTAGACAACGATGTTCCAGCTTCCGTTGGAGGGAGGCAATTTTAGCCAGTTTCTCTTTGGCCATCTTGAACCACTTAATCGGCTTGAGCTCTTCCTTGCTGACGTTTAAGTGGTTTCTCCAAAGTTCCTCTA